CAAAGAATCCACCGCAGACTATGTAAGGAGCCGGGTTTCCGCGAGCCTGAGTATATATATAGGTACCCCCAGATGCGCGCGAAATTACGATGGACATCATGCCGCTCGCTACTCCCTGATATTACCTCTAGAGCATTTCCCAAATTAGTTTTGTAAACTTGACCAGGCTCGTGTAGCTCATACAATGCAAAGTATTTTAATGATTTTACATGCTTGCTTTGATATCAAAAGATTGCATTGTTGATTTGTATATATAAGATATTTGGCTACCACTACAAATGGTGAACAGATTAAATTAATGAACTATTCTACAGGATTGCTTTTAATTTGGCGATCAAAGCCTAGAAGGGCCTGGACCTATGCGTACAAGAAAGTGAATACGAGGGCCTTACAATGCAAGCAACGGTTAGTATTATTAGGCTCCTTAAGTCTAGCTAATTGCTTTCCGATCTCTAAATAGTGGGCACCTTGCGGTTGCAGGACCTCGCAACTGATTCAACGCAGGTTATACGGCCGTGATAAGATATTGTCGTAGCAAAAATGTTGCTCACCGGGCGAGCTTCTAGCGCAGGCCACTGATCTTTTTGTTGGTTGATAAACGACTCAAAACCTCCCCTTCTTCTTCGTTGCCTATAGATGGTTTTCTCTATATTTTTTTTACCTCTAATTTATCCCTGTTATATTTTCTATACTCTTCTTCTACGAGCCTTTGCCCGACAGTCAGCCACTGAGTTGATGCATGGAACTCTCAACCATCTCGATTGCGACCGCCTCATCTAGTCTGATCGTGTGGCTCTTACTCCACCGCCGGTTTCTGCCCCTCTAGATTTTTCCTAGTCCAAGTTGCTCCTCAGGCCGCAACGAACCTCCTTTCGCGACGCCATTGCCTGCTACTACTATAACTGTTACGCTGCCCACCACGACGGCTGCAACTGCTTTCCTTCGAGGTGGGGTCCGTAGAGTGGCCCATTGCCGCCCCTAGCTCTGCCTGTGTCCAAAGTCCATTGGTGCTGCAGTAACGGAGGTGCCAGCAGCGATCGCGACTGGTTGGAGGAGTCCGTGGAAGACATTTGCATCAAAATCTCATCTTTGCCTTCGGGATGGTCTTCGCCTTTGCTTGCTTTCTTCCTTCGTTTGCCTCATCGTTGTCTTCGGCGGTTCACTGTTCAGCAGTTTCGTCCTTCGTTGGTAGGCTCCATCCCTCACTTATTTCATCCTCAAGAATCCTACTAACATTGACATACGCACACACACTTCACGCACATCGTCTTGTAGAGATACACTCATGCTCACTCAACGAGTTCCCTCGCTTTTTCTTTAGTCGCCCCTCTCGCAGTCGCATACTCCCTGGTAACATCGTCCCTTTGAAGAAGCCCAACTACCCCCTTCGGCTGTTCAGTTTGGGCCGTGGCTCGTGCCTTACAGTCATCGTCCTCGCCGTCGCCTTCACGATGGTTGCTTGCTCGGCTGGCTCGTCTTTCCAGGGTTGGGTCGGATCTCCTTGATACCGCGTCGGCGTATTCTACGTCGCACTGTTACTGAGATCTTGAGCGGAAGAACAAGGATGAAAAAGACGAGAGGGAATAGTGGGACAGAGCGCGAGAGGAGCCGAGGATAAAGGCGAGCTCAAACGAAAGAGAAAGGCACCCTGCTACTGCAGAACGGGTAGTACATTGCGTGAGCACCGCTTGCCCTGTGGTGGCTCCAAGCTCACGCTTGCTTCGTCACCAGCTTCATCACCGCTATACTGTTCTTCGTTTTCGTCGTCCTTTTTTTGACGATCTAATAGAGTCGGCTTTTGCAGTCGCAGCAACCTTCCTGACAAGGTTTGCCTTTTGCTTTCTTGAGGTTACCATCACGACTACAACCCCCCTTTTTCGGGCCCTCGTTTTACCGATTTTGCTATCCTGGGACCTCCGAACAGCCGCCCACTGTCGCCTGCTTCACATTTGACTTTTGTTAGTAGACTCAGCTTTGGGCAGAAGGAACAACCACAGCACCGGCAGCTTCATTTGGCGCGCTTTGTCACTTCAGTTTGTTCGCCCCGTTGGCTGATACGAAGGACAGCCACAACGATGACGATGGCTGAGACGGCTAAGGCGCTGACCGTAATCTATCACAGAAAATGTGATTTTGGACCGATTTTTGACATCACTAGAGAGGAAACAAGGGTAAGCGTATGAGGAGGGGCCGAGCAACTCACAACGGAGGGCAGTTCTCTCGTTGGCATTGCTGCGACCACGATGAAATGGCATCGTAACGCGAGAAGAGGACATTTTGGCCCCCATTTGCTGAACAATAAGTAAGGAGTCTGAAGGGTGGTGTCTTCACTGCTAGCGCGTCATACTCTGCGTTGGATTATAACGACTGTATTTAACAGCTGTATAGCCTTTTTGCCTCATAACTCCGTGCCATCTTGAAGGAAATATTGTATCTCTAGCATATTTGTATAATAAGCATCTAAATAAAGAATCATTGCGCGATGTACTATTATGATTATTTGCCTTTCTATAAATTAGGTTTTGTTTTGTGTGTATAGCATAGTAACAATAGAACGTTTTCGCATCAGCAATAACTTGGTTTAAATGAGTATTGAACTAGCTGCTTTCACTATAATCTTCAAAAATAACAAAAATAAACATATAATAACATAGAAATGATTTACTCTACAGTATTCGACGCTCATTGGGAGCCAACAACCTATCGAGCAAAGATTGACGGATCAATTATTATGATATTTCTTATTTTTCGATATCTAGCTTTTAGCTGCCAATTTTTAGTTTATACATATATATATATATATATATGACACTTGTTACAAACTATGTTATTAACTAACTAATAATAATATTATTATTTACTATAATCATTATGATAATATAGCCACCATCATTTAGATCGTAAGACAATTGGTCAAGAAATATCGATATTTACATGTAAATAGATTTCCGTTGCAACAATTAGTCATAGCAACATGCGTCATGTATTTAAACCTAACTCTAAACGTAACTTGAAGTTCAAAGTATATCTAACGTGATACCTATATAGATAAATAGAGTAGTTCATTTACATACAAGTACGCAACATCTGATGTTAACTGTCTCCCTTTTAGCCTTCTCCTCGAAGGCCATCCCGGTTACGGATCGAGTATTAGCTTTACATTATACCTGGCAGTACGTCTGTACATGTGCGTTTCTCTGATGACGTATGTATATTTGGCTACTTTTTATCGAGTATTTTTAACCCACACAGCCTTTCCTGCTTTGGACGAGCGATCACTCAGACTTCCTGCCTCCTCTGGACGATCTGCTGGCATTTTTCTTCTTGTCCTTCGTAAAATCGGATTGCATAAGGCCAAGTATGGCTTGTAAAACGACGCAGCTCTGCCGGACGACGCAGTGTCATTAAGATAGCAGAAACGCCAGGCACCGCCGGTGTAATATCCTAGTTTGTCTAGTTGGCTTACATAGTTTCAGTAGCAGTATTGCGCTGTAGGGGAAAGCAGCGCGCGGCAGGCCGTCTCGTTTGGTGTGTCGGCCTCTTCGCCGCCCACATGGTTGTCTGCTGGCCAGCACAGAGTTACTGGCGTGGTTACTGGGCGATGCCATTGCCTCCTGCCGCCACCGCAGGCGTCGCCACGAAGTCGCTGAGGCGGCGAGCCATGAAGGTGCACAGGTGTTGTGGTAGCTCCCACCCAAGAGGGTGACGAGTGATCCGTCTTATTTAATCACATCGGCCCCGACAACTTCTCTTTAGTTCTCTCCTCTCTTACCCGCTGACTATCCCCTTACCCCCCCCCCCCCCGAGATAGCGTTGCCGGGGTTTTTCACCCCCGAGTTCCCTTCCCATTCTCGAGGTTACCCCATGGCGCTGAACATATAGGCCAGATTCGCGACTCCTTGTTCGATCCATCCACCCCCGAATCGCAGGATCCCTTTCCTTTTTACTTGGTGCAGAGTAGTGGCCATGCTACAGCCATAAGCGTACATATAGACGGAGCTACCGAATGATGCCCGCCCGTGGCATACCATTGCGGCTCTCATCGCTCATAATTTACATAACAAGTAACATTCGATCCGCTCGAAACTACAACGAAGACGCCGGCTGCGAAGAGTGCAAAGGAGAGAGAGATTTTAGAGAGGCGAAGGCGAGAGGGCGACGGTCGGGAATACGTTCCTGCTAAAAGCACAGCCAAAGTAAGTCATTGTATATCATAACGAGGAAACACAACTACATTAACTGTAGTCGTGGAGATAGAAACAAAGTAATGAATAAGCCAGTAACGAGACGAGGAACAGCGGATCTTCACGTTGGGATGCGGAAATCATGTCCATCGCTGACGCTGTTATATAATAGCAATACAATCCTTTAGGCCTGCCGTGGTAGGTAGAATTCGACGTAAAGTTAAAGTTGGCAAAACGTATGACGATAGGCGAAGACGAAAAAAACAAGTAAAATGCATTTTAATGCGACAATATACATATGTTGAAAAAAGGAAGCTTCACTTAGAAAGAGAGATTGCAGAGTAGAGGAAAACATGTTTACAACAATGACACACTGAAAAGTGTGTCATCGCTACCGAATTTTATGTAGGAGAGGCAAGTGGGACACATTCATGTTCAAAGTTGAATTGATCTAGTAAAATGAGTTAATTTAGGGATACTATTGAAGCCCAAGTTCGGCGTCTTACGCAACCATTACCATTGCTAAATAATTTTCACAAACCTATAATCTAAATAGTACAGTTGGGGTTTTTCCTATGACCCGGGACGACTAACAGGCCATAAATAGCTGATGAGAATATGCCCAGATCTGATGACTAACTAGCCCTTTTACAAACGACATTTACTCAAAGGTTAGTCACACTAAGGAAGGGAGTACTATTATAAGATTTTTATAATATTGATGTAACGTATACAACAACTCGAAATAAGCCAGATAGCACAGGATAATTACTATAACAGAACAAGGCCAAAAAATTATCTCTAGATAATAAAATCTATCGCATCTTTATTGCTCACAAACATCACAATCAGAGCAGTGAAATAAAATGGTGGCCGTTCTTTTTGACCACATGTCGAGCAAATGATTAACGACGTCTTATTAATATCTACTGAATTACGACGGGAAACCTGGCGCAGATGATTCTATTTTTTCTCTCGTCGAAGAGAGTCCATATGACATCGAGCGCAATAGAAGGAAAGCCGTTCCGGACCGGGAACGAGTGTTTGTAGGTAGCGGTTTCACCATTTTTCAGCGGGCAAATGAGTCCTCTAGCGCAAGCGTTGCTGTTTGGCAGCGGATAAGGGATGCCAAATCCGGAGATGAGGCCGTAAACTTCGACGGTGACCCGGGAAGCATCGCTGGCCGGTACGAACGTTATGCTAAGGTTGACATTAGTACCCTTATACAAGACGCAATATGGGTCGGTATCCTTGCAGCCGCTGATTTCTACCGTGCGGATAGTGCCCTGACTATGATTACAAGAAGTAAACGGACTAGCAATAGCGATGGCCGCTAAAGCGAAAATTACTAGGAACGTTTTCATGGCTAGAAAGCAACACTGAAATCAACTTGAAACGACTAATGGTACTGAATACAGCCTGTTCGGCTTTTATCCTCAGCAAAAACGTTCAACGTCCTCACGCCTGCTGAGAGGAGACCTTCGAGTTGATTGATCTAGGCTAAAAAGCAGAACGTCGACTAAGCAAATGGATACGCGTGGTCGTCGATTACTTGATCAAGCCCATTACTTTACCAACTGATTTCTCTCGTACTGTGGATTGAAGGTACACATACACGCGAATATCGACAAGTGAAACGTATGATTCAATTGCATACGCTAACTCTTGCAAGATCGCGCGCTTTGTATTGTTGGTGATAGGGTGCGGTCCGCATTGAGCATTACGAGTACTACAGGCTGGCAAGTTGCAGCTTCGTGAGTACGGTTTGGAGTGTAGCAATAGTAAAACGATTAGAATAGATTGTAGCACGCTAAACTATTGCTAAGAACACTGCATGATAAGTAAACTAACTCCAAACTACGAGTAACTCTATTTCCACTTAATACATTAAAAAAAAAAAAAAAAAAAAGTAGAATTTGGTCATAAAGCGTTAAGCAACAACGTTATTTGAATTGGCTGTTTGTTAAAAACCGCTCCAAGTGAGTAACGCACTCCTTGTTATCCAGGTTATTATACTATAGATTACTTTCACTGCAAAACACCGGCAGGCGCAGCTACGTGGACAGCTGCGGCGTTGTAACCCGAGGAAAGAGTATACTACTATCAGTGTTTTCAGTCCATGATAGCAGTGATATAATATCAACACTTAGATAATAAAATTATCTATGCTTATATTCAATTATTTAATAATAGTTTGTTATGGAAATGTCATCGGGAAATCCATTTTCGGCTTTCGAATCGTTACTTCAAATTTCATATTCTAAATAGGTGTATAATGCTGTCGTTTGCCACATGATAAACGATGAGGTTAGTAACGAAAAACGTGAGGGAATACGGATGAAAAAAAGATGGCTGGCACTCGTTTTCAAGCCCCACAAGACGCTTTTAGGTCGCGTATTTTCTCAAACGTTCCGCATCAAACAGTTTTGTCGCTCATTGTCGAATCACGAACCAATTGTCATCTCAACACTCAGCCACTGCAACGTTTATCCACGTAAAAACAAAACAGACATTCAGTTATATTTGTGTCTACATATAATCACAACGCACACACGGTTGCATTGCACAATCTTTGTTGTGCCTACATTCACCCTCATTTTCTCTGCTAGCTGTCGGTATATGCTTGTCAATCGTCACGTAACAGTCGAAGTCGTGCAAGGCGGAGAATGAGTCCCTCACCGAATCCCACGGGGACACGACCCTCACGAAAAGCGTCGCATTTCTCAAACGCGAGGTAGCTCACAAACCCTCGAAGACCAAGAAGTGGTTGGCTTGTTCGTTTGCTTGCAGAACTAAACGCACCACCGTGATGAACGCTCGGACACAGCATCATGCTTGCGCCTGTGGATAGAATCGCCGAGCGTCGATTGCACGAAGCTACTACCGCTGCAGAGCTACAGGGGCAGAAATAAAGATGGCCACAGCGCACACAGTGTACAGAGAGCGAGAGAAATTGTGAAGGAACCAACTACCGAGGCAGACGATTCCCCAGCACCCAGACAAGGTGCCAACTTCCCTCCAATTCGACTAGAAGCGGCGTTTTAGCTACGCCTGCAACAAATTTCATTAAATTGAAAGCCCCAACGTAGACGACCCCCATGCAGAGCCTTCCTCCAGGCCGTTTTCCTTTTTCGCGAACTGCGGTACTGTGCGAACATATAACCACTAAAGAGTAGGAAAGACCGAACAACCTACGACTGTACCACAATTCCTCTGGTTCGCGACTCCACACCCCACCTCAATGTCGGAGCGCCACTATGGAAGCGTTAGGCGAGCGCTCGCGGAGAAGGAACCAAGACCGGAGTATTTTGGGGTATTCACCCAACAGGACGATGTCGGCAACGAGTTAAGTTCATTTGCCATCTCCGAGGTAGCTACTGGGTGCCGTTTGCACATCGACAGAGTCGCCCTGTAAGGTTTCTAAAGGCGGGTTTGTATAGGGACAGCGAACTAAAAGGGGTTGGGGGGTGTAGGTGACGATTCCATGAAGAAAGCAAAGGACAACCAAGAAGGAGAACGCCTGAGTGGCCACCGAACGGGTCGCTGCGAATTGTTCGATGAAGCGGAGTGGACAGGGCTGCGCAGCTAACTCATCAAAGCGACTTCTTCGAGAATACACGGCATTGAACAACACACAAATTTAATAGTAATAGAGAATCGCTGAGCTCAAATTAATATGTGACTCCAAACCTGCAATTTTACGTGCAGTATTTATAGACGAATGTAACATTCAATGTGATATAGTCGATAACGTCCCATTTATCAATGAGCAAGGGGTATTATTTGAAGACTAACAGCTAGATTTTAATATAGGATAAATTGCGTAAAAGGCAGAGAACTTCAGAGTTATGTGGATGACCTTCTACGGTAACTATACTAATTTAATTATATAAAATATAATTATAAAAAATCAGAACTATGTCACATCTATTTGAATCTAGATATTTCTCTTTGATTTAAACCGTATTCTTTGAATTTTAACTTAATAACTTTAACGACAATGTGTATGTGTGTGTGTGTGTGGCGCGTGCGAATGTTTGCTTTAAAGCTGGCTATTCTTTATCAACTTTATCTGGACAATCAGCCATAAAGAATACAAAGAACGAGTCGACTTAATACTTTAGTTTTTAAAGATCAACTCCTTAGCCCGAATCCTCTAAGTCATTCAGCACAGTAGCAATTCAGGAATCCCCACCAGGGTTTATCGGACGGGTATCCGCTAAGTGCGCTCTAGAAAATCTCCAAAGGAGTCACATGTTCTGCGTTGATCCTTTGAAACCTCTTGGTCGCGTCGGCACCTCAATCTGACTAACGGGCTTGGCTAGTCGGGAAGTTGCGTTCAAAGCGGAGCAGCAACTCTGATCCTCATGTCGTGTTATTGGCTAGTTCAAGGATTCCTGCTGACGGCCTAAATCAGTTCCGTGGTTCCATAGATCGTTGACGAAGAAGTCCAGTTTCTCGCGGCACCGATCGTTTCTCCCGTCTGCTGGAATGTTGTTCTCACGTGTCGATGTTTATGCAACTGGATCGTGCTCCTTTGCTTCGTGCACTTCGGCTGTGATCCTGTTCGGCGCCCTCAGGTTGATGGTGCAGCTCAGTTCCGTAGAGCGAGTCTTCAGGGTGCTATAGGCACTATGGACCGATGGCAGCATGGGCTTAGTAGAAGAGACGAGGCAAAACCAAAAAGATTCGACAGGAGATCTAGTCAAAATAACTTAGCCTTTGCTGCTCCAAGAGCTGGATGGGGTTGTCTACCCAGGAAGCGTCCATGGTGTTTATCTCAAAATACGACTGCGGCATGCACCCCCTGAAGACTTCCCTTTCTGTTCCACTGTGATTCGAGGTTGTCTTTGCAACCGCTGCCACCCGATGCGAAAAGCATTTCGATATTTCAATGCGGCAATTTTGCATTCTGGGTGAAGGGACATTTTCGGATCGAGGTAAATGGATGAGAAATGTGCATCTGTTTAATGAAGATGGCTACCAATGACTTTGTAGGACCAAGGTGAGGATAACTTTGAAAAAAGAAGCTAGTGTATTAAAATCAAAGAAGAACGATAGCGTGGTCAACACGGTTGTTACAGTTATATATATCAAGTAAGTTATCTTCAAATACACAATATTTTTTTGGCTAGATAAGGAATGTTTGTCAGTTAGAGGATGTGAATCGTAATTGCTTAATGAATACGTTTAATAATACTCTAAAGCACATGCACACATCATACATGACATTACCCACTGGGTTTTTTTCATTAAATTGGAGAACGGTGAGGCGTGTCTAAGAGCGACTAACACGTACTTTGCAGACAGGCGCAGCGCGCATCAGCTGGTACCTTGGTTTTTTATAGGTACCGATACTTCATATTAAACGCTTCCTTTTAGAAAGCCATCGCATTCCTCTCGCCAAACCTTTTAATTTCAGGTTTAATACCTCGTTTATCTAAAATAGTAATTTCTGAGCTGTTCAAAACTTGTAGGTATTCTTAGCGTATGTTTAACCACTGTTACTTCTGAGTATTTTCTTCACACAGATTTCGTGACTGCTGCATGCAACAACTCGCATCCTTAGCCAGAAAATCACAATGCCGAACATCTAATTAATTATCATTTTTCGCGTTCCAATGAAAAAAACAAAAGATATTCTGTTTATTCTGTATATTATATTAGGCATATTATTGATGCTGCTAGAATATAACAGAGTACAGGTAAAATTTGCTTCGGTCAGAACTTTAATGTAATACATCAATACGATACCGTTTTTAGCAGCGTTTTTCGGGCCGTAAAAAGTTTCGGGTTCAATGAGGCTATCGACTGGCTTCGCTGTGTCTGTCGGACAGAGGTAACAGTTCGTTATCGCTTGTGTGAGATAATCCCACCGGTCGGTCGCCATGGTAATGAAGCGATAACACACTCTTCTACTAATCTTACGGATACATCAGGCAGTATAGGTTGGAAAGTAAAATTCAAGACATCTTTGTCATTTCTTTCTATCTGCCTGGTGCCATTAAGTGATATTTGCTGATTCTTTCTCCATAGGCTAATCGACAGACGGTGGAAGAAAAAGGATATCTGAAATTGTGTTTCTCGCCGACTTTCGAGTAGGCAAAAACCGTCTATGGGCCTAGATGCAGGCCAACTGAAGCTGACAAACGACGTCCGTTTCTATGAACGTGCATTAACGTTTTGTCTCCATGAGACGTTTCCTGTAGGGATCCGATTTTCGTAGCCCGCATAGTTCGATGTGCCATAGAAGTAAAGATAGCATTGATTGGAAGAAAGCAATACTCGTGCTCTGCCGTACCTACCAGTTTGTTACAATAATTCTCTATGACAAGTGGCACTAACCGCACCTATCGACAGTAATCATCACACTTGACGACTCTATGATGACTACGTCTAG